GAGCCGCAGGATGTCTGGGACTGAATCGGTGGCGCGTCTTCCCAAGCATTCATTGTCGCGTATCCGTGTCCAGTAACGGCGTGGGGTCTCGCCTAGTTCTGGCTGACACCTTGGTCGCTCTGGATACTTATGCAGACTCGGACCTGTTATTTCGAACATGCCTGACTGCAGACGGCGATGGGCGAATTGAAACCGCCCACTCCATAAGAAAATGGAAATGTATGCTGTAGATGCAGACTCCTGGTTGCGAGCCTGACTGCGCGTGTCGTGGCATCGCGCGCGACTTCGTGAAACAGAAGCTCTTTCACGCTGGAGGTTATTCATTATCTATTTCTTGTCGCTCAGCAGAGGAGGTCTCCACAGGCTTGAGGAGGCCCCCAGAGGCTTTCTGATATCTTCAGTAAGCAAGTTCCAAAAACACCCGAACACGCTATATAATTTCGAACAGCCTCCGTGCAAGGCGGCCTTACTCTCCTCCTCCGACTCCTCCGCCTCATCCTGATCATCATCCTCATCAGCATCATCATCACCATCACCATCATCACCATCATCATCATCATCATCATCACCATCATCATCAGCAGCATCAGCTGCATCATCATCATCATCATCATCATCATCATCATCATCAGCATCATCATCATCATCATCATCATCATCATCATCATCATCATTATCCTGATCATCATCATCATCATCAGCCGCATCAGCATCAGCATCAGCATCATCATCAAGAGTAGCATCATCAGCATCAGCATCGTCATTATGGACATCACCGTCATCAACCTAATCATCCTACCAGTAACCATTATCAGCATCATCATCCTCATCACCACCATCATCATCACCACCATCGTAATCATCATCATGATGATTCTGCGGCGTTCATTCCGCTTTTTGCTCGAAGCCTCCGGGAAGGCTTCTGTTCCCCAACATGGGCGCGTACACCTCTGCCGCCAGCACGCGCTTCAACGGATTCGCGCCAGCGAAGGCTGGAGGGGGCCTCAGACGACGGCGACGACGACGACGACGACGACAGGGACGACGACGACGTTCGGCGGGCCCAGCCTGGGGCCTCGCGGAGAGCGGCGGGCCTTCCTCCTCCTCCTCCTCCTCCTCCTCCTCCTCCTCCTTGTCCTGCCACCTCCTTCTCCTCGTCCTGTCTCTTCCCCATGATCCTCGTCCTTCTCGTCATCCTCCTCTTCCTCCTCCTGCTCCTCCTTCTTGTCCTCCTCCCCCTTCTCCCACTCCACCCTCCCCCCCCCCTCTCCCCCACTCCTCCCCCTCCCTGCGCTGAGCAGGGGCACTCGTGGCTGGGCCATCTGGAGGCGCTGGCACGTGGAGTCCAGCAAAGACCCCTCTCCTCCACGCGGAGGCCATACAGCGATCCCTCTTTCCCCCCCTACCCCCCCTCAATTCTGGCTCCCAGGCTCTCGATCCCAGATCGAGTCTCGAGCATCGATCCTGGATCGATCCTAGAGTCTACGGTCAGGAAGTTCTGGATAGCTTGTCGCTCCGCCGGTTCTGGCCCACCACTCTTTCGGAGCGACACGCTCTCCACTGTCTGGCCCCCCAGCAACGTCCCGAGCGTCTCCCGACCTCCCAGCCCACGAAGCGGAGCGACACGCAATTGGCTCGCAGGCCGTAGACCGGTCCTCTGAGCCGGCCCGCCCGCTCTGTTCCCAGCCATCACCTTGACCCTCCCAGCCAAGATGCCTAAGAATCATGGTAGCATGCCTAGGCATGGCCATGTTGATGCCCAGGCATGCCACTGCTGATGACCAGGCATCCGCACCTGTATGCCTACGCACGCATCGAGGGCTGCGTCCATGGACGGTGCTGGACGTAGCTGTGCGTAGCAGATGCCCAGGCACCGACCCGGTGATCTGCCCAGGCATCGAACTGGGGATGTTTAGGCAGGGGCAGAAAGGTGCGCAGGGGAGGCATCGTGCGGGTCGGGGCGAGGATAATCCGTTCCAGAGCGTTCCAGAACGCTCTAGGAGCGTTCCGGAACGCTCCGAGAAGGCCGCAGCGCCCGATACGTCCTCCAGAGCGGCCGGATCTGTGGGATTCTCGATGTGTCCTCGCCCGATGTTTCTCCCTCGCCCTGGCCTCGTCCCAATCTCGGAGGGGGGAGAAGCGACACCAACACCACCAGGGGGGGGCAACCTCCAGCGAGGAGGTCCACGATGCCTCCCCGAGCTGGAGGCTGGGGATGTCTCGAGCGAGAGGGGGGACCACACCACCAGGGAGACCTCCCTTTCTCCTCGCATCTCCTCGCCCTGTTGGGGTTGGTGTCGCCTTTCCTTGTCCCTGCAATCCTGGGCGCAAGGTGCCACGAGCCAGGGGGGCCGCGCCGATCGATCCTCTCGAGCCTCGAGGCCCGAGGCCCGCGGGGAGATCCACGGCGCGCGGCCTCGCCCCCCGCGGGGGCCCCGCGGGGAGCGGGAGCCGCTCCCCCCCGCGCGAGGCGTTCCTGTACCGGTCGCGCCAGGCGTGAGCTTGGCGCCCGCGGCGCCGCGGCCGCACGCACGGCGTAGGCCCCCGGACCACCCCGCGCCACCATGTCGACGAGGAGGAGGAGGAGGAGGAGGAGGAGAGGAGGAGAGGAGGAGGAGGAGGGAGGAGGAGGGCTTCTTGAAGGGCTTAGGCGACCCGTCCTCCTCCTCCTCCTCCTCCTCCTCCTCCTCCTCCTGCCTCCTCACCTCGTCCTCCCTCCTCCTCCTCCTCCTCCTCCTCCTCCTCCCTCCTCCTCCTCCTCCTCCTCTCTTCCATCTTCTCCTCCTCCTCTTCCTCCTCCTCCTCCACCTCCTCATCCTTCTCCTCCTCCTCCTCCTCCTCCTCCTCTTCCTCCTCCTCCTCCTCCTCCTCCGCCTCCTCCCCGGGTTGCCTACGGCCCCAGGGCAAACCGTGCGTTGCAATGTTTCTTTCCCAACGCGGGCGTTCCTGCGCAGGTCGATCCGGCTCGAAGGGCGGCGCAGCAAGAAGGGTTTCCCTGAAGGGCTTATAGGCGACCCGTCCTCCTCCTGCTCCTCCTGCTCCTCCTCCTCCTCCTCCTCCTCCTCCTTCCTCCTTCATTGCCTCCTCCCCCTCTCCCCTCCTCCACCTCCTCCCCCTCCCCCTCCTCTTCCTCCTCCTCCTCCTCCTTTCCCTCCTCCTCCTCCTCCTCCTCCTCCTCCTCCTCCTCCTCCTCCTCCTCCTCCTCCTCCCCGGGTCGCCAACGGCCCCAGGGGAAACCGTGCAGATGGGGTCTGGGGCTCCACTGGTCACTTTTTGCGATGCTGCAATTCTGCAGATCTCGGGGGGGAGGGCTGCGGCATCGAGGATCGTCCCGACAGTGCCACCATACCGACGGGGAAGAATAGACGAGGGCCGGCGTGTCGCTCCGCCGGTTCTGGCCCACCACGCCGATGCATCGGCGATGCATCGGCGGTGCGGCGCGATCTTCCGACCCAATCTGCTCGGATCCCATGTGGTATGCCTCTAGAGGGGAAGTGCGGAGAGATCTCAATTCGTGTTTTAGTTCAGCAGCGGTGAAGCAACACTCCATCGAGCAGCAGTGTTTTGGATGGAGCTATTGCTGGTAAGTATACAGCAGTTAGCGTTCAGCTATGTTTGGCTTGTTCTCTAGCATTACGAAGAAACTGGCAGAAACTGTATTTGAGCGAGCAGTCTTAATATTCAGCGGCGTTCAGTGTTTAGCAATCCTTGAATTGTTGTGCGAATCGGCTGCAATGCGCGTATGTGTTTCCGTTCGCTGGTTTGTTTATGGTTCCATATTTGTCATTGCAAGTTGAGAGTGTTTGTTTGGTCGGTAGGTTCTTCGGCACAGCTTCGCGGGTTTGTTTGCGGTGAACTTTTCAGAGATGTGTCATTCCCTACCTCGGCTCTGCCTAGGAGGGTTCTTACTCTCTGGGCTTAAAGGGGCCGGGCAGTGGAAAGCGCCCCGGGCGGTTCCCCCAGTATCCGCCCCGCGGTTCCCCCAGTTGCGCCCCCTTAGCTTAGCTTTGCTCATCTCATCTTAGCCTAGCTTAGCTTAGCTTAGCTTGGCTTAGCCTAGTCTAGCTTAGCTTAGCTTAGCCTAGCTCAGCTTAGCTTAGCGCAGCGCAGCATTAGCATTCGCATTCGCATAGCAGAGCATAGCATAGCACATCATAGCATAGCATAGCATATCATAGCATAGCGCAGCATAGCATAACGCAGCGTAACATAGCATAGCATAGCACAGCATGGTGCAGCATATCATACCATGTCATTTCATACTATAGCTTAGCTTAGCATAGCACAGCGCAACATAGCATTGTATGGCATTGCATAGCTAGCATAGCCTAGCATAACACAGCATAGCGCAGCATAACATAGCACATCATACCATATCATAGCACATCATTGCATATCATATCATATTATATCATGACGTAGCATAGCATAGCATAGCATAGCATAGCATAGCATAGCACAGCGCAGCCTAGCATAGCATAACATAGCGCAGCATAGCATAGCATAGCAATACTACTACTACTACTACTGCTACTACTACTACTACTACTACTACTACTACTACTACAACTACTACTACTACTACTACTACTACTACTGCTACAGCTACTACTACTACTACTACTACTACTACTACTACTACTACTACTACTACTACTACTACTACTACTACTACTACTACTACTACGACTACGACTACTACTACTACTACTACTACTACTACTACTACTACTACTACCACTACTACTACTATTATTACTACTACCGCTACTGCTACAACTGCGACGATGAGGAGAAGGAGGAGGACGGCGTTTACCGTTACTACTAATATTGCTCTCCTCGGGGCTCCAACTCCTAGGTAGGGTCGCTCTGGGATAATTCATCTGTTCAGGAAGTCGTTCGGCACAAGTTCGCAGGTTCGCTCGCATCCAAAAAATCGCTGATTTGTTATTATCATTTCTTCGGGAAGTTGTTCGGCAGAAGTTCGCGGGTTTGCCGCATCGTCCCTCTAGGGGAGGAGTAGGAGGGGGGGGGAGGACTGTGGCATCGAGGTTCGTCCGGACGCTGCCACCATCCGGAGTCCTGACGAGGAGGACGACTGGAAATGCACCCACGATGCTGCAGTACACCCTCCCGTCCAAAGTCCTCCCACCACGAGTCCCTGCAATTCTGCGTCCATCGCTGCAAGAAGCGCCCCCCCCGTGAGAGAAGCGCCCAGCGGGCCTGCCATCCGGGCGAGAGCCCCGTTCGGAACAGGGAACTGCCTCCCATCTTTTCCCGCGAACATCAGGGGCCGCGGAAGCGTGTGAGCATACGGCTCAACGGGGTGTCCAGCGAGACCCCCCGTCAGATACAGGACCGCCCCACAATGCGTGCGATCCCTTGGCAAGCCGTATGATGCCCCAACCTGCTCTAGCCTTGGTCACGAGAAAGAACCTCGACCCCCGGAAAAAAAGTGCCGAAACTCAGCGGTGTTCGCGCGTCGGGCCCTGGGAGACACTCGCCCGACACTGTTTCCACACTCGTTCGACACTTCTCCGGGCGCTCGAATCGAGTGTCGGGCCCTGGGAGACATTCGTCCGACACTATTTCGACACTTGTTCGACACTTTTCCAGGCGCTCGAACGTATGTTTAGGATGTGGCCTGTAAGTGCGACTGGAGCAGCGTAAGGCGCGCCTGCACTTGCGGCCATGACCTGCGAGGGCGCCCAAAAGCGAGAGGCGCCTGCCAGCAGGGAAGCGCCCTCCCCCCGTGCAGATGCTCATGGCACCTCTTCCAGAGGCTGGGGTTACACACGGAGGGAATCTCAAGCCCTCTCCTCCTCCTCCTCCTCCTCCTCCTCCTTTTCCTCGTTGTCCTCCCTCTCCTCCTCCTCCTCCTCTTCCTCCTCCTCCTCCTCCTCCTCCTCCTCCTCCTCCTTCTTTCCCTCGTTGTCCTCCTGCCCCTCCTTTTCCTCGTTGTCCTCCTCCTCCTCCTCCTCCCCCTCCTCCTCCTCCTCCTCCTCCTCCTTTCCCTCGTTGTCCTCCTGCCCCTCCTTTTCATCGTTGTTCTCCCTCTCCTCCTCCTCCTCCTCCTCCTCCTCCTCATCCGCCTCCTCCTCTCTTCTTCCTCCTCCTCCTCCTCCTCCTCCTCCTCCTCCTCCTCCTCCTCCCCTCCCCCTCCTCCTCCTCCTCCTCCTCCTCCTCCTCCTCCTCCTCCTCCCCTCGTCCTCCCCCCTCGTTGTCCTCCTCCCTCCTACTCCCTCCTCCTCCTCCTCCTCCTCCTCCTTTTCCTCGTTGTTCTCCGTCTCCTCCTCCTCTTCCTCCTCCTCCTCCTCCTCCTCCTCCTCCTCCTCCTCCTCCTCCTCCGCCTCCTCCTCCTCCTCCTCCGAATGTGCGCGGCGCTAAGGCGAGAGGCCCATAGTGAGAGGGAGCCGCCCTCCACCCTTGCGGAGATGCTGCAAGTGCTGAGGACATGCGCGTGCGGTGCTAAGGCCAGAGCCCGGGTTTGAAGAGCACCTCCAGGAAGGGGCTGCCTATCCAGGGAATGGGACGGAGGAGCAGGAGGTGGAGGTGGAGGAGGAGGAGGAATCAGGAGGAGAAGGAGGAGCAGGAGGAAGCAGAGGAAGAGGGCGGAAGGAGGAAGGAGAGGAGGACGCCCCAGGAGGGGCGGAGGTGGAGCAGGAGGAAGAAGAGGAGGAAACTGAAGAGAGGGTGAGGAGGAGGATGAGGAGGAGGAGAAGGAGGAGGAGGAGGAAGAGGAGGAGGAGGAGGAGGAGGGAGGATGAGGACCACGGTCTGCCGGGGGGAGGAACAGGAACAGGACCACCTGGGGCCTCGTGCGGGAGGAGGATGAGGATGAGATGCCGTGCGTAGTTTTGATATTACTCGCGTCAGTATTTGTATTATGAGTCTTCGTGTTATTACTGTAGTAATAATATGTGTAAGACATGCTTAAACTGTATGTTTAGCATCCACGGCCTTTGTCTGTCAGGAAATCGATCCCAGATGCAAGCCTGGCCAAATCTGGGACCATGTGTGGACGGATTCTGGTCGATACTCGAGATTCAAAGATCTAGGTTTTTGAGCACATTCGATCCTCTCTGAAGATGCAGGCGGCATTCTCGTCGCCGCGGCCGGATCAAAATCCTGGGCGCCGCTGGACAGCTTAAGAGGCCGATTTTTGAGGGCAGCTCAATGTGTTGATGATGCTGATGAGGAGGAGGAGTAGGAGGAGGAGGAGGAAGAGAACCAGAGTAAACCAATGATGCACACGCTGTGACCGAGGTCTAAGATCGAGGTCGGTTCGGCTCCCTAATGTTCTTCGTGTTTGCTGGATGTCCTTGTGCATCCTGGGGGAGGGCACCCTCGAGCGATCTTCTGTTTTTTTTTTTTTTTTGGACGGCAGAGGATCTCATGTTCTTGAAGTATGTTTCGGACGGGGCCAGGACGAGATCAATCCGTTCCAGAGCGTTCCAGAACGTTCTCAGAGCGTTTCAGAACGCTCTGAGAAGGCCGTGG